AGTGCCAGGGTGCGTCTTCGGAGGGGCCGAAGGTTTCCAAGCAATTCGGCCAGGCCCGCCCTGGCGCGCTTCGCCCTGAGCCTCCTGAGGGTTTCTCGCCGCCGCCGCTGGTTCCGCGTCGAAGCGCGCAGAGAAGGGTGGACCTTGGGAGGGATCCGCGGGAAATGCCCCCGCTGGGAAATGGTGGGCGCTGTGGCCCTCCACCCGCAATTTGGGATTTCGGCTTGGGTTGGGGTGGTCTACGGTCGAATCCGATGGTAAGGGTGGGTCACGTTCCCAAGGGAACCCTTGCATCCGTGCCTCTTTGGTCCATCCTGGACCGCTTTCGATGTCCAGCCTCGTTCGGAAAAACTTGACACGGGCGTCTACGGGGCTCGCATCCGTATCATCAGTTTTGATCGTCGGAGGTCGTCAACGACCCCGTCGGCCTCGCGGGAAAGCGTTCCCGGAAACTCCTTGCGCGGCTGGCGGCGCGGGCGGGCGGCGGGCGGCGGCGGGGGAGGGCGTCGGGCAGCATCGGGGCGGGGGGCGTAGCTCGGTGGTTCAAGGATGGGGGCCTGAGGGAATGGGACGAGGAGGTCAGGATGCACTGATGCCGAAGCTTGTCTCGTGGACGAAAAGCAGGTCCGCGACGGTGGCCGCGCGGGCTGGGCCACGGGGCCGCGACCCCGCGGGTGCGGGGCGTTTCTGTCTCGGGGTACATCCACCCTTGGACCCCTTCGTATCCTCAGGACCGCATCCCTTAGGACCCCATCTTTGAGCCACTGGGCAGGGGCGGCTGCGTGCCCGAGCCGACAGGGCCACATGCCACACGCGGCGGCTTCCTTCGCGGGGCGGAGGCGAAGCGGGGCGGGGGCGAAGCGGGGCTGCGGGATCACACGGGGCAGGGGGGGCGAAACCGCAGGGGCGTCGGGGCCACACGGGCCCATTGCCCCACCACTGCCGCACGGGGCAGCGGGGGCAAAGCCATGCGCGTGGCGGCCCCGTGGCTTCGGGGCGAATCCTCCTCCTCCTCCTCATCCTCCTCCTCCTCCTTCTCCTCTTCCAGGCCCTTTCCGTGTCGAGACGCGTCCAGGCGGGCCCAATTTGGCCCGTCCGCAGACGGCTGAACACCTACATTTTCCCGACCGAGCAGGATCTTGCACCGATGTTCGCTGCTGCTCGGCCCTCGCACGGCCCCCTGAAAGCCCATGCGTTGCAAGATCTTCGGATGTAATGTGTGCAGTCTCGTGCCTAGCCGTCCGAGGAGGTGCGGCGCCAGTCCAACGTTGTGGGCCATGGCGGCTCTCACTTCGGTTACGGTCGGGGTTCTTTCACCAACCGCTCGGCCGGCGTCAGCATCGGTCTTCGACGGCGGGACCTGGCTGCTCGGCTTCCTCGTGTGGTCCATGGCCCTGCCGCTGCTCGTCCTCGCCCGCATCACCTCTGGCTCGCTGGTCCTCACGAGTGTTGCGCTCTACTTCCCGCCGCCTGGCGCCCTAGAGGGATTCCGGCGACCTGGAGGCGCACGGTGGACGTGCTCATCGAGTGGTTCGGGGCACATGTGGACGCCACGCCCGAGCGGTCGACGCCTCTGAACTTCACGGACTTGAGTGACTCGTTTGCGGTGGGCGACTCTACCGACACGTTTCGGTGCGCGGGTTCTCTTGTGCAGGAGCGCATGGGCTACGCGGCCCGCTGCCTCCGCGAGTTGATCCATCGCCACTACCTCGGCTGCGCCGCCACGTTCCATAAGCTCGCGACCTTCTACGGGGAGAAGAAAAGCGTCTCGTGGATCGGCAGCTTCGTGCTGCCCTCGGGGGCCCTGCCGCGTGTGCAGAAGCTCGTTGCGATGACGAAAGCGGCTTGCTCCTTCCAGCTCTCCCCTAGCAAGGGCGCGCTGCGTGACCACGCCCCGCTGCTGCTTGAGGTGGACGTCCGCGTGCCCAGTCTGCAGAACGGTGCGGCGGTCCTGGCCTGGAGCTTCGACGCGATCGAGGAAGGCGCTCCAGACTCTAGGCCAGAGGGGGGGGGATTCTTGTCCGAGCTGAGTGTGGCCATGAAGTCCCAGGCGCCTGCCTTCCTCGGCTACTTCGAGGCCGATCGCGTTGACGACGGCTAGAATGCGCTCGTCTCCATTCTCCAGCCCATCGCCAAGAAACACTTCGGCCGTGCTCGTCGCGTGCCCTGCGCGGCCCATGTTCAGCATCGTGATTGCGTGCGCCCCTTGCTTCGACAGCGTGCTCGGCTTCGGCGCTGGGCGAACCTCGCGCCTTCTACGGCCCCCAGGTCCGCGACTTCACGAACCGCACCCGCTGGGAGGTGCGACGCTGGACTCGGGGGGGCCGCAGGTAGTGGTTGGAGTTATCGCGTGAGTCTTGGCGTCGTCGTGACTTGGCCAAGGTGCAGCATGTCTCTCGCCGCCTTTCGGGCGCGGGGCTTGGCCGCAAGTGTCGCAGCTACTCGGCAGCGCGCCGTCGCCATGCATCGGCCGATGAATTGCGCGGGCTGTCTGGGCCCCCCTGGGAGCGATGGCGGGCCCTCTGCTGTCCAAGGTTCCTCGGGCGAGTTCCCCCCGTGGCGGGTCTCGCTGGCCCCGCGAGGCGCGCGAACGAGAGACTCTGCGGGGGTGATGGGTGGGCGGGATCTTCGCAGAGCCTCGCGGGCGCTGCGCCGTTCGTCTCGCCGTCGCTCTGCGCCCCCGCGGCCCTTGCCTGGGAACGTCGAGCTCATGCTTTTGAAGCCCAGGTGGTGCGGCAAGCTTCGCCCCGCCCCCCTCGGCCGCGGCGCCGAACCGCCGCTGGGCTCGAGGGCCTCGCCAGTGCTGGAGGGCGCGCGGCAGGTTTCAGACGCGCGCGGGGTTTTCGATCGGCCGGCTGGCCCCCGAGCCCGACGGTGGCGCGCTCATTCTGCGCGGTCTGTGCGCCTTCTTCAGGGCGGCTGCTCGCGGTCTCTATCGCTCGGTGCCCCGCGGCGCCCCGGGCGAGTTCGACCGCCTACTCATCCCGCGCCGCAGGGCGGAGAATGCCACTCTCGGCGCGCTGTGCTCGCGCTGTCGGATCGACCGCGCGCGGCGCGAGTGGCGCGTAGCGGTTTTGCATGGCATGAAGAATGCTTTTGGTGGCTGCGCGCGCGCTCGCGTGGGCCGCTGGCCGCGCGCGCGCCCTCCTCTGGAGGGCGCCGATCTTCTTGCCGACAGGCGCGCCGCGCGCATCTTGCGCGTGAGTGGCGTGGGCCAGCGCGCTCACCTGCGCTTGCACAGCGGGGCCCTCATGGGGGGCCCCAGTGCCCCTGACTAGTTTCGAGTGGACTTTGCTCGGCCCCTGGGGCAGTGGCTCGATCAGAGTGGGGCCCCCCCGGCTTAGTTCTTGTTTTTCAATGTTCCATTTCCGATCCTGACGTGCATGGCCTATTCCCTAGCGGGTGCCGCTGTGTGCGCCCAGGCATCCCGGGCGCCCCTCGGGGCTCGGCTGGATTCCTTTGGCTGCCGACATAACGCCACAAAGCGGTCCCAGATCCCACGCCTCTGCGGGTGCATATACATCGCCAATCGCAAGTTGTACCCTGCTGAAGTCGGCGGCGCCAGAGTGGCTTGGCCCCCCGCGCTCGCTACCTGGGGCCCCAGTTTTTGCCGTTTGGGGCGTTCTCCCATCAGTTGCGCCCGAGCAAGCGAGCGGGCAACCGCGGTTGGTTGTCTTCAAAGTTTCTGTGGCTCTCAGGGGCCCCGTTCAAGTTGAGGGGCTTGGTATTCGCATCTGTCATGCAGGGCGCGCTCCTGCCTGGCCCCGCCCCGCATCTCGAGAAAGCCCAGGAGGCCCAGCTGGATGTTGCGTTGCTAGGCCAAGTTCGTTCTATAGCGACGGGGGCGATGCTTGATCGGTCGGGGGCTCGTCCGGAGTCTCGGGGGGAGCGTCGCGTCTGGGAACTTCGTCCCGTCGCGCGTCGGGCTCCAAATCCAGGGGCTCCGCTGGAGTCGGCCCGTCGTTCGCTGCCCTGACTGGCGCCGCCAGAGTGTCGCCCTCTTGTTCGGTCAGTTCGGCTTCGAGGACCCCCCCGCGCGGCTCGAGGGCCGCCCCGCCGAACGTGCCAGCGCTTGCGCTGTTCGCGTCGTCTCGGACGTCTACCCCCTTCGGCTGCTCGCCGACTGCGAGGGAGGTAACTTGCGCGACCTTTTTCTCGACGAGCACGTTTCGCGCATGTTGCTCTCGGCTGATGTCTCGGTGCCCCGGCAAAATCTGGCGCGCTGGATGCGGGGGGCTCGGCGCCGTCGATCTCGGCGCCCCCCTGGATTCCTGGATGCGGGGCCCTTGCTTCGCTGGGCCCACCCTCGTTCCTGGGCACCGCAGGGCGCGTCTGCATGCGCGGTTGCACTTCAAGACGGCAGTGTTTGCGGAGCTAAGTCCCTCGCGCGCGCCGCGCCCCTCGCGCGCGAGACGCGCGCCATTGGGGGGGTCGCGCGGCGATTTCTCGCGCCGCGTTAGATGTGGTGACTAACGAGTGCCCTGCGTGTGGGTCTACCCTCACGTTTCAGGAAACTGTTCAGGTTCGTCCACGCCGCGCGTTGCGTCTAGGTTCTCGCGCTACGGAAACGGCCCGCGCTGTCCGCCCCCTCGCGCCTCCTAAGCTCGAGTGCCCCGCCTGCGAGATCGACTCCCTCGTTGATTCGGTTCGGCTGCGGGCGCGCATTTGCGAGTCGCAGCTTCTTTTCGCGCCTGCGCGCGCCGCGCAGGGGGGCGGCGACAAACTCCGAAGCGGCGGCTTCCCAAGCGGGCGGCCGCCGAGCAGGAGGCCGACGGCGCCCCTCCCGCGGGCGGGGCCAACGCCCCCGTGAAGTCCAGCGGGAGTGGCGCAGCGGCGTCGGCGTCTGGGGGGCAGCTCGCCGTCGCCAACGGCCAGCAGAGCGACGGGGGCGGCAAGCATCAGCGCAGCAGACACCTCGGCAAGGTTGAGGACGTGGGCTTCAACGAGAAGCCGGCTGGCCTCATCGACGCGCTGCTCAAGCAGGCCCCCTGGCCACGCAGATGGTTCGCGACCCGCGGGCGGCGGGGGTGGGCGCGTCCTTCGCGGGCGCGAGCGTTCCCGAGATCAGCGTGGCTCAGGAAAGCGAGGCGACGTATTCCCAGGAAGTCTGAGCCCGAGGGAATGGCCGCTTGTTGGGCCCCCCTCGTCTGCGCATCTTCAGCGGGTGTCTCGCGGGCGTGGAGTCGCGCTGGGGCAGAGGGCGCGCTCGCTGTTCAAGTTGCACGCCGAAGCGGCAGGGCGCGGGTGGTGCTGCAGCCAGCCGAGTTGCACAATATCTTTCGCCTCTTCCGCGTGAGGAAATGCTTCGACCCGCGCGTGCGCTAGGTGCGCGCCGTGCTGGGAGAAGCGCCGATGGGCCAGCCATCGCCCGAGTCCGACGAGCAGCCTCTGCCTTCGCCCGCGTTCGCCAGCAGCTTGCTCCAACAGGCGCTGGCCGACGTCGGGGCTCGCGGGGCGCCGTGCGCGGCTCCGGCAGGAGCAGTGGGGGAGATCTTGCAGAACGCGGTCGACGGTGAGGCGGAGGGCTAGCTCGCCGGGCTCCTGCCGCAAATCTTAGCTCTGCCAGTTCGGTCGCCGCTGTTTTGCGGCAGCTCGAACTGGCTAAATCCTCGCGTCGGCGAGGTTCAGTCATCACTGTTTTGCTCGCGCTCGCACTGGCAAATCCTAGCTTCTCTGTCTAGGTTCAGTCGTCGCAGCTCTGGTGCAGCTTAAACTGGCTACTTTGTGATCCGTCTTCGTTCTTTGTTGTTGGCAGCCCAGGTGCTGGGGCGTCTGGTGGTTAGTATTTCGTGCTGCTTGTGAGCTTCACGTACGTGGTCGCATATGTCAATACCGATGGCCTGCTGCTGTGCCGCCTCTGGGGCATCATCGTGCTCATGAGTGTCGATGACATCGGCTTCCAGGGGTGCATCGTGCACGATTAGACTGGAATTGTATTATCTCATATCGCAGCTGTTGCTGCAGGGTGAGCCCTCGATCGCGTTGTTCTGCCGTTCTGAAGGGGCCCCCTCCTCTGCTGTTGCTTAATCCTCGCCCCCTCGCTCTCCTCGCCTTCTGCCTCCTGGTTCCCCTCGCGCGCCCCAGCCCTTGGGTGCTATTTGAATGGCCCTTTGGACCTTGCTGTCCCTCCCTGTCTTAGGTATCGCACGCATCTCATTCGTCGGTGCGCGTGTCCCTTGGGCCCAAGCTTCTCGGTCCGTCAGGGCCCGCTGGGGCCCTGTTCGATCCTCGTGGCAATGTATTGTCGTCCGACGGGCGCACTCCTTGATTTGAAAGATTGTGTTGTTCAACAAACCGTAACCTCTTAAGTTGAACGCTGCATATTTGTCCGGCGCGCGCCGATCGCGGTCTTGTGGGTGCCGCCGCCGCACCGCCTTTCCTTGTTAAAACCAAAGTTGTGGGCCCACACTCGTGTCTTACCTTGCCTCGTCCTCCTCCTCCTCCTCCTCCTTTTCCTCTTCTTCCTCCGCCGCCTCCGCTTCATCGTCCTCCCCCTCCTCCTCCTCTTTCTCCGTGGTCGCCTGCCTCGCGCCAGCCCCGCCGGCCCACGGCAGCGGCCAGAAGCCCCGTCGTCACTGGCTAACATAGGTCATGATGATGAATGAACGCGCGCCCTTAAAACAACGTATGGGACAACCGATTGTTTGCTGAAGCGAGAAAGCGGTTTACTACATTGCGCCGCGTAAGGATCAAAACAACAACCAGTTTACGGAATCCAAAAACATGTTTTTATTTCCTCTACATATTTTTAAACATTTCTATTTTTTTAAAGCCCAGAACTAGTTTTTATTCTCTTTAAGAAGTTGAAAAACTTTTTTATAAATATTTATATTTTCTCTAAATCCCAGATCCTATCATTACCATGACCTGAGTGGCTCGACCACGTCACCCCCTGTGCGGGGCGCCCTCGCCGCCGCGAGGTGCACCACAAGGTCATCGACTTCAATCGGGACGCCCGGCAGGTGCTCGCGCTCCCCCGCGGCGCTCCGCGGCAGGATGGGGCTGGGTCTCGTCAGAGCGTGAATTACCTAGCCCGCTTTCGCTTCCAGGCAAAACCACGTCATACCATACGCCTCCTCGTCAAGCGGCCTGACCAGTACATGCCGTAGTTTGGCATCGCTTGGTATGTCTTGGAAGCGAGGGTGGTCAAAAGCGAGGTAGGTTTGTTTGCCCCCTATTTCGAAGCAGAAAAAACGCCCAAACGCAGGGAAAAAGACCTAAAGACAGCCCCAGACTTCTCCAACACGGCCCGAAAGCGGCGAAGAAGGCTTCGGGGTGGGCAGGGAACGCCCTGGGGGGAATCTCGACGGAGGAAAAACGCCGCAAACCTGAAGTGTTCGGCGCTCCGCGCGGATCTCTTGGAACCCGCGGGGCCTCCCTGGCGGCGCCTCCGGCGCCGCCCTTGGCGCGCGCTCCGTGCGCCAGGGAGGGGGATCCAGCGCAGATCCAAGAACTCCGCGCGGAGCGTCGAACAGTTTATGTTTATGGCGTTTGTTCTTCCTCGAGGGGTCGACTTCCAGGGTCTTCTCATAGTTTGGGGACGTGCGCGGCTGGCGCTGCCTCCTTCCCACCCCGAGGCCCTCTTCGCCGCGTGAGGGCTGTATATTGGAGGTCTCTGGGGTTGTCTTTGGGGCCGTCCTAGGTGCCTCCTGGGCCGTTTTGGGGCCCTCTTGGACCGTCTTGCGGGCTTGTAGGAGGCCTCTTAGGGGGGGCTATGGGCCCGCCTTGGAGCGTCGGAAGCCCGAAAAGGCGAGAACCTCTTGGAGCCCTCTTGGGGCATCTCGGGAGCCTCTTGGCCTCCAGAGGCTGTCTTGGGCCCTCCTTGGGCAATCGTGTGTCCCTCTTTTGGTACTTTATGGCGGTTTGGGATGTCTCTGGGGCCCTCCCAAGGCTGTCTTGGGAGCCTCTTAGGTTGCCTTGGGGCCCTGTCGGGCCGTCTTGGGGGTCTCCTGGGTCCAGGCCGTCTTGGGGCAATCTTGAGGGCCCATGGGCCCGTCGGCCCGCCTTGGAGTTTCGGAAGCCCGAAATGGCGAGAACGCTACCATGCCTGAATAGCCTAAGGAACATCAAGGATGTTGGCCTCGTGGAGGTCCTGGAGGTCTTCCTGAGGCATCTGAGGGGCCTCTTGGCCTCCAGAGGCTGTCTTGGGCCCTCACTGGGCTGTCGTGGGTCCCTCTTTGGGTGCTTTAGGGCCGTCTTGGAGGTTTCTGGCGCCGTCTTGGGTGCCTCTTGGGTTGTCTTGAGGCGGTTGTGGGGGCCTATGGGCCCATCTTGGAGCGTCGGAAGCCTGAAACGGCGAGAACGCTAACATATCCTTGAAACACCGAGGTGACATGAAGGAGTTTGGCCTCCTGGAGGTCCTCTTGGAGGCCTCTTCGGGCGTCTGAGGGGCCTCTTGGGCCGTCTTGGGGCCGTCTTGGAGGCGTCTCGGGACTGTCTTAGGGGGCCCACCTTGAGACATCTCGCCCGCCTTGGAGGCCAGCTTGGCCGTCTTGGAGGCCGTCCAGGGGCCGTCGTGGGCGGGAAAAGCTGTGGCGGGTACATGCTCCGTACGGCCGGCGGGCTCCCCCCATGTTCCAACTCCATCCTCTCCTCTCCTATCCTCGCCCCTTCGTCCTCCTCCTCCTCTTCCTCTCCCCTCCACCTCCGCCCTCTTCCCTCTTCTCCTCGCCACGTCCTCCCTCCTCCTGCTTCCCCCTCCCCCTGGCCGGTGCCGCCCCCGCGCGATGCGCTGCGCGCGGCGGCCGCTGCTCAAGCAGTGGCGAAGCGTCCTGGCTCGCCTGTAGCCCTACCAACGTGTCTGGCGGAGTCTGTCGTTTTTTGTCACATCGGGTTTATGTTCTAAAAGCATCGTTTGTGTTCTTAGATCGTTCTTGGGTCCTAAGAGCATTTCGTGGTAGGAATATAGGAATGCTGGGACGGTCGGTCCCTGCTCAACGCTGCGCCTTCCGCCCCCCAGGCCGGGACCGGCGAGGCCGAGAACCTGGCGATCCAGAAACTGATGGCGGGGCGCAGCCTCGATCCGAGACCGGAGGAGGAGGTCCATAAGAGGAGGGGAGGAGGGGGGGAGGGAGGGCGGGACGGAGGAGGGCCAGGAGGGAGGTAGGGGGGAGGAGGGAGGTAGGGTGGGAGGGAGGGAGGGAGGTAGGGAGGGAGGGAGGGAGGGGGAGGGAGGGGCAGGGAGGGGAGGGGGAGGGAGGCAGTAGGAGGGCCAGGGGGAGGGAGGGAGGAGGGGGGGGAGCAGGAGCATCGACGAAGGACCAGCTTTGCCCCCCCCCCCCCCCCTTGGCGCGCTCCGCGCGCCAGGGAGTGGGGGCCAGCACCGATCCAAGAACTCCACGCGGAGCTGAGAGGTTTTATGTTTGTGTCGTTGTTGATTCTCCAGTAATTAGGAGGGTTGTTTCCAGTGTTTCCGTCTCTTCGTCAGAAGGGAAGCGCTCCTTAACAAAACCAAAGTATCCCAGCAAAGCAACCTAACAGCGATGTGTAGGAGCATATCTGGAAGCATTCCCCTTACGATTCAGATGAGGATCCAGTTGTAGAATTCTGCTGTTCTCGCAGTCGTAGTCGCATTCGCGATGACAGTCGCAGTGGCAACGGCAGTCGCAGTCACAGCCTCAGCCTCAGCCTGCCTCAGCCTCAGCCTCAGCCTGCCTCAGCCTCAGCCTGCCTCAGCCTCAGCCTCAGCCTGCTTCAGCCTCAGCCTCAGTCTGCCTTCAGCCTCGGCCTCAGCCTCAGCCTGCCTCAGCCTCAGCCTGCATCAGCCTCAGCCTCAGCCTCAGCCTGCCTCAGCATCAGCCTGCCTCAGCCTCAGCCTCAGCCTGCCTCTGCCTCAGCCTCAGCCTGCTTCAGCCTCAGCCTCAGTCTGCCGTCAGCCTCGGCCTCAGCCTCAGCCTGCCTCAGCCTCAGCCTGCATCAGCCTCAGCCTCAGCCTCAGCCTGCTCAGCATCAGCCTGCCTCAGCCTCAGCCTCAGCCTGCCTCAGCCTCAGCCTCAGCCTGCTTCAGCCTCAGCCTCAGTCTGCCTTCAGCCTCGGCCTCAGCCTCAGCCTGCCTCAGCCTCAGCCTGCCAGCCTCAGCCTCAGCCTCAGCCTCAGCCTGCCTCAGCCTCAGCCTGCCTCAGCCTCAGCCTCAGCCTGCTTCAGCCTCAGCCTCAGTCTGCCTTCAGCCTCGGCCTCAGCCTCAGCCTGCCTCAGCCTCAGCCTGCATCAGCCTCAGCCTCAGCCTCAGCCTGCCTCAGCATCAGCCTGCAGCATCAGCCTGCCTCAGCCTCAGCCTCAGCCTGCCTCAGCCTCAGCCTCAGCCTGCTTCAGCCTCAGCCTCAGTCTGCCTTCAGCCTCGGCCTCAGCCTCAGCCTGCCTCAGCCTCAGCCTGCATCAGCCTCAGCCTCAGCCTCAGCCTGCCTCAGCATCAGCCTGCCTCAGCCTCAGCCTCAGCCTGCCTCAGCCTCAGCCTCAGCCTGCTTCAGCCTCAGCCTCAGTCTGCCTTCAGCCTCGGCCTCAGCCTCAGCCTGCCTCAGCCTCAGCCTGCATCAGCCTCAGCCTCAGCCTCAGCCTGCCTCAGCATCAGCCTGCCTCAGCCTCAGCCTCAGCCTGCCTCAGCCTCAGCCTCAGCCTGCTTCAGCCTCAGCCTCAGTCTGCCTTCAGCCTCGGCCTCAGCCTCAGCCTGCCTCAGCCTCAGCCTGCATCAGCCTCAGCCTCAGCCTCAGCCTGCCTCAGCATCAGCCTGCCTCAGCCTCAGCCTCAGCCTCAGCCTCAGCCTCAGCCTCAGCCTCAGCCTGCTTCAGCCTCAGCCTCAGTCTGCCTTCAGCCTCGGCCTCAGCCTCAGCCTGCCTCAGCCTCAGCCTGCCTCAGCCTCAGCATCAGCCTGCCTCAGCATTCAAAATGTGGCCCGGGAATGGAGTTCTGGGAATTCGAAGAACACGAAGTGGCCTACAGTTGGCTCCGGGCATTCAAAATCATGCCCAGGAATGGAGTTCTGGGAATTCGAAGACCACGAAGTGGCCTACAGTTGGCTCTGGGCATTCAAAATGTGGCCCGGGAATGGAGTTCTGGGAACTCGAAGATTACGAAGTGGCCTACAGTTGGCTCTGGGCATTCAACATGTGGCCCGGGAATGGAGTTCTGGGAACTCGAAGACCACGAAGTGGCCTACCGTTGGCTCTGGGCATTCAGAATGTGGCCCGGGAATGGAGTTCTGGGACCTCGAAGGCCACGAAGTGTGTGACTGTTTGTTTATAGCGACTTCCGCGGCTTCTCCCCGGCACCCGCCCAGACCCCCCTGGGGAGTCAAGATGCTCTCTTTTGACACCACTAGAAACCTATCAGTCTTCGCTGTTAGGTAAAAACAAAAAGGCGGCCATCAGGCTTGGGCCTCGGACGACCCACGGTCGAACGCAGCACGGCGGCAATGCAGGATACCCAAGAGTATTAGGCCAGAACATTTGCTGCGTTCTCCCAGTACTCATTTGTTTGTCGGATTGTTTTCGTTTATCGGTTTCTGTTCGTTTATCGGCGTTGGTATAATGATGTCGCTCTTGAGTGTGTCGGGTCGCTCATTCTTGGCAACATTTCGGATTTGGGCTGGTTCCGTGTCGGCCTGGGCGTTTTCAGTTTCAAGGAGGACGCGGAGGATGCGTTTCATGATCTTCGTGCCGACACCATTTAGATAGCAGCACGTGGCCATTATCATGGTCACGGCGTGCAGCCGGGAGGCTTCTGTTCGGCAGCAAAGTCTAAGTTATTATTCATGTGCATCATGTCGCGTTTTCTTCTTGCTTCTTTCACGAAAGCGGTATGATCCACGCCTACCATGAAATCATCTCCCAATCGCGCGAGGGCTTGAGCGGGCAGAGGGCAAATACCACGATGCAAGTGTGTACAGTATGATAATGTGCAGGTACATGTTTGTATGCACATACACACATAACGTTACATACATACATTCATTCATACCTACTTGCCTACCTACCTACCTACATACATACATACACACATACATACATACGTACATACATACATGCATACATACATACATACCTAAGTCCATCCATACATTCATTCATACATGAATACATACATGCATCCATATATACATCCATACATACATACATGCATGGATGCATTTATACATACATACATGCATATATACATGCATACATACATACATACATACATGCATGCATGCATGCATGCATGCATACACACACATACATCCATACATACATACATGCATACATACATACATACATACATACATACACACACATACACACATACATACATACATACATACATACATACATACATACATACATACATACACACACATACATACATACATACATACATACATACAAACATACGTACATACATACATACACGCATACATACATCCATACAAACATACATACATACATACATGCATGCATGCATGCATGCATGCATACATACATACATACACACATACATACATACACACATACAAACATACACACATACATACATACATACATACATGCATGCATGCATGCATGCATACATACATACATACATATACCAGGGGCAGGGCAGGGGCCCTAAGGGCAATCACCAGAGCTCCATGCCGGTGGCAGGGATCTTCTGGCCTCCGAAGATGGGCCAGGAGGCCCCCCCCAAACCCCCAAGATGTCCAACAAGGACCTGGCAGGGATCTGAATCACCGAAAACCGCTCCAAGACGTTAGCCCCAAGGCAAGGCGCGCCAAGAGACCGCCCAACATGCCTCCAAAAGCCCTCCTGAGAGCGGCCCGACAGACCAAACTCATTTATTGTTACTGATTTGTTCGAGGTTTTTTGCGTGTTCGCGTTTTCAGGCTTCCGTCGAACTAAAACGGACCAAGAGGTCCCCAAGACCCCCCCAAGACGGCCCAACAGACGGCCCAAAAGGGCCCCAAGACGGACCAAGAGGGCCTCAAGATAGCCCAAGAGAGTCCCAAGATGGCTTCAATAGAGGCCCAAGGGGGGGCACGCGAACCGACAATTGGAGCTGTCCGCCCCAGCAGGCCCCAGGAGGCCCCCAGGGGGCCCCCAAAGGGCCCCCAAGACGCCCCAGACCAGAAGGGCTTCAACACGGCGTCCCAAAGGCCCCAACATTGTCTCCAAGGCGCCCCGAGGAGGCTTCAAGACGATCCAGAACGCCTCAACATCGCACGACATTCTCACGAGCACCTTATGACCCCCCCCCAGGCGCGGCTGCAACTTGGCCGAGGGTTCCTGGAAAAGACACGAGGAGGAGCATAATGAGAGAGTGGAGGATGAAGCGACATGAGAGGTAGAAGGAAGAGGAGGCATCCGACACGGCCGAGCAGAGTCCCCAACGGCGCCCATGACAGTCCAAGAGGCCACAAGACTGCCCAAGAGCCTTCCTAGACGGCTCAAGATGATTTCGAAACCCGCCCCCACGCCCGCAAGAGTGCCCAAGAGGGCTTCAGAAGCGCTCGAGGAGGCTCCGGAAAGTCCAACAAACGTTGAAAAAGGCATGGGGCAATTATTGATTATTTGTATATTGTCGTGTTTTCGCGTCAAGTGCGTTTCCGAGGCCAAGATGTGGCCTCCAAAAACCTTCCAAGAGGCCTCCAAAATGCTCCAGGAGGCACCAAGAAGCCCCACGAAGACCCTCACATACCCCCAAGACGTCCCCAGGAGGCCCCAAAGAGGCACCTAAGAGGCCCTGAGAAGGCCCCAAAGAGGCGCTAAAACGCCTTCGCGACGCTCTGCGAACACCAAGCCCGCCACAAAGATTCCCAAGACGCTTAAAGGGCCCCAAAGAGGCGCAGAGGCCCCAAAGAAACACCAAAACGCATCCTCTAGGAACACCCAGCCCGCCCCAAGAATAGCCACGAGGGCCTCGACACTCTCCAAAAAGTGCATAAGATAACGCCCAGGAGACCTCGAGGGGGCTGGGGAGCGGCCGAACGCGTGGAAACAAACACACACGCATTCAATGATTTGCGCACTTTCGGAACAG